TCCTCTTGTTTTTAGAACAAATACTGCTGCTTTTTGTTATGTCATTGTAGCTGAAGACTGCCTGCTTCGCCCAGCTTCCACAACAGCCTATGTCGCGGTGGTGGATTATGTGTGTTCGGATATTATATGTACGTAGGGACGGCTTGCTTGGTCCAGCACCTACATCAGCCGATGTGCCGATGGTGAATTTTGTGTGTTTGCTCATTCCGTAAATACAGCCTGATTGGTCCAGCGTCCACATCAGCCTATGTCAAGGTGGTGAATTCTGTGTGTTTACGTATTCCGTGATGACTGCCTGCTTGATACAGCGTCCATTTCAACCGATGTCGCGGTGGTAATTCTGTGTGTTTGCGTATTCCGTCGCACCTCAACGCAACTGGAGGAGTGCAACACATATTCTTACCTTCATTCCATTGTTTATCCTATTGCACATGTAAATTGAAATTCAGGATTTGAATTTGTGCATTGGCTTGTAATTGACAAGCAGTTGACTTGATTGATATTGAATTGATTGATTGAATGATGATTGATTGATTGAACTTGATTGATTATTGATTTATTGATTGAACTTGATTTATAATTGAATTGGTGACGTTCATGCACTTGTGACCTACCCAGTGCATGATCCGCCCGATTTGGGTCGTCACATTTGTTGTATTGATTGTTGATTGTGGGGCAGCCCTGTGGTAGCCCCAACAAATTGATCACCGCGGCCAGAAGCGCCACATTAAACAAGCAAAATAATATCTGTTGTTTGTTTGATTAATAGGGAATCTGTAATAAATGGTATGTTTCCTTGTTATTAAATGTAGTGCAGCCTGTGCAATTTGGAATGATAATTTTACACTGCGACTACATATGTTTTAGCCATTTTTAGGGGCACTAGTCATAAAGAGAATATAGAAAATCGCAAAAATACTTCTTCAAACATCGTCGTTTATAGACTTTATTAACTGAACTGTATTAAGCAATATTATTCAAGAATAAATTCTTTTTTATTCAATTGACATAAAAGATTAAGTGCACATTTCAACGAATATAGGCAAATGTGCTCAAATATTTTTGAGCCAATTTGCAACTTAAATTTGTAAATATTTTTCAAAAGTCTTTGTCAGAATGTTTTTAATCTTTAATATGATGAAGAACATACCCAAATAATTAGAGAAAGTGATTAAAATATACACCTTTCCCCGCAAACTAATGAGAGACACTCTATTTATCAATACTTCTTTTGTTGACCTTTTTGCACTTACACAGGATTTAATTATTTAATGACTGTTTTGGGATACGTTCAGATTTACAATGTGAATATTTATCAAAAAATGTTATTTTTTTATTTAAAAAGATAATATTTAAGGGAAACATTGTTATTATACACCAACCATTATGAATAATTAACAAATAATTATGAAAAGGAATGCACGTCATTTCATGATAGACATTATAAAATTTACACACAATCTTTAACAGATCTGTGACTCAGATACATTTCATCAAGATATTCCACTATTTAGATTTATTAGGATTTTTGCATTCCTTCAAAATAGTTGCATGTCATTCACATATTATCACAGTTGTGCAACTTCATTACATGGGACAGTCTTGGATTGAAGCCGTAAAGTATGGGAAAAAGTAACATTAAATTAATTATGACGTCATAATGGATCTAGCACCAAACAGACACTAAATTCATTTACTCGATATGACGTCATACGACGTAAGTTCTACGTTAAAGATGTAAAATTTTGTGCTTTAATCAATATTTTCATTTTATAGGTCAACTGAGTCACTCAGGTGACCTATTGCTATCCGTTCTCGTCCGTCGGCGTGCGTCGTGTGTTAACATTTGAACATTTTTAGCTTCTTCTCTGAAACCGCTTAACCAATTTCAACCAAATTTGGCATATGGCATCTATGGGTAAAGGGAAACAAAAATCGTGATTTCATGGTCCCTGCACCCCCCCCCCCCGAGGGGCCTGAGGGGTGGGGCTGAAACCACCAAAAATAATTCAATCTAAAAAAATCTGCTTGTTTACTCCTGGACATCAATCAAACTGTTGGCATCATTGTAATAAGCATTGAGCCCTCTACCAAAATTGTGAAATTCACGGCCCCAGGGTCAGGGGCTCTGGCTCCAGGGTTGGGCTATATAGATCATATAGTGAAAGTGCATTATTTCTTTGAAAATCTTCTTCTCTGCACCTGGGTATTAAATTAAGTAACTAAGTACATAGTTATAAAGAGCAAGAGTGCCTCTTCCAAAATTGTGAAATTCATGGCCCCTGGGTCAGGGGTTCTGGTGTTAGGGCGGGGCTCTATTGATTATATAGTGAAAATGCATTAATTCTTTGAAAATCTTCTTCTCTGCTCCTGGATATTAAATAAACTAACTGCCTCTCAAGAGTGCCTCTTCCAAAATTATGAATTTTATGGCCCCTGGGTCAGAGGTTCTGGTGTTAGGGCGGGGCTCACTTGATTGTATAGTAAAATTGCATTAATTCTTTGAAAATCTTCTTCTCTGCTCCTGGATATTGAATAAACTAAGTACATAGTGACGATGAGTTATGACGAGCATGGTTGCCTCTCCCAAAATTATGAATTTCATGGCCCCTGGGTCAAGGGTTCTGGTGTTAGGGCGGGGCTCTATTGATTATATAGGGAAAATGCATAAATTCTTTCAAAATCTTCTTCTATGCTCCTTGGTATTATGAAATATATGGAGATAACGAACAGTATTCAAGCTCAAAAGTCCATTAAACAATACAAAAAAACGAGCAGAGCAAACACGGACCTCTAAACATCAGAGGTGGGATCAGGTACCATGGAGGAGTGAGCATCCCCTTCCGACCGGTCACATCCGCCGTGTGCTCCTTGTCATGATCGGAAAATAACGGAAAAATCCGTCGACAATTCAGGGTGTAAATAATGGCCTAACAATTAGTATTAAAAACGTCAGTCAGCATTTGACTCAATGATAAATTGTATTTGTTGACAAGGTAATTTTATCGACCATAGAACTTACGAAATGATGACTTCAAATGAGACAGCTGATATTCTTGTTTCATCAACTTGTTTGTCAATAATTTACCTCATTTTAGAAATTCAAACAAAGGAAGTGCATGGTTATGATAAGGAAGAATGCCTCTTCCAAATTGTGAAATTCATGGCCCCTGGGGTTAGGTGAAGAGGGGGGGGGAGACTCTATTGATTATATATTGAAAATGCATACCGGTAATTTCTTTCAAAATATTTTTTTCTACTACTGGTTATAAAGCAAAGAAACAAGTGTATAGTTATGGTGAGCAAGGGTGCTTCTTCCAGAATTGTGAGTTCATGGCCCCTGGGTCAGATGTTCTGGTGTAAGGATGGGGCTTTATTTATTTAATAATATAGTGAAAATGCATTTCTTTGAAAACCTTCTATGCTTCTGGGTAAAAGAAAAGAAGTTTTAATATGCAGAGGTATTTTTACCAGAATTTTGAACACCTTGACCATTTAGTCAAGTGTTCTGGTACTGCTCAGTGCTCTATTAACTTGTATTCTGCTGAGCAAAATTATTCCCCTTTGCCATTCACCTTTGATAATTAATCACTGTAAATAATGTATTTGAAAGGTTAATAGAATACGAGAATTATGCAAGAATATTCATTTTAAACTAAAATAATTACTTTCACAGATTTAATGATCAGGTAGACTTGGAAATAATAAATGAATAAAATTAAGACAAAAATAACTTATCTTTTTAAATGTTCTTCAAAGGCTTGGAGAGGCCAATGTGAGAAGTTATAATATGGGGTTAAAAAATAGACATTTTGTTAAGTAGTCTGCATGGTAATATAAGTGATAAATGGGGGACAGATAGACACTAGACCAATTATTTTGTTGATGCTAATCCTAATATATTTCTTGCTTTTGGGCAACAAAGCTTCATTTATCAGTTTATGGATCCTCTAAATTGTTGTATTGTACTCAGGTGACCGTTAAGGCCCTTCGGCCTCTTGTTTTTCTGAAAAAAAACTCTTTTGTATTAAATACTCGGCCTATTCATAGGGCGTTAAAAGCTTATTTTACACAGGTACTTGAGTCTTGGTTTATAAATATGTATGTACCTTATTAATATGTAAAGTAAAGTACATAATTTACATATCAGTAAGGTACAAACATATTTATAAACCAAGACCCAAGTACCTGTGCATTTTGAAGTACAATATCCATAACATAGTATAACAGGTTTCACAATAAACGATAATTAATGAAATTGTTAATTTTCAAGTTTTTACAAGGGGGGGGGGGGGAGGGGGATGTACATCTACTTCATGCGGGATTTTGAACAAAGTAATCCTTCCTGCTATAAGCCTGTAGGTTGTCAGTAGAAACTACAAAATATTTTCTGTCGGTAGTAGTATAAGTTCAATTCCCCGCGCTTGCGCGGGATTTCATCTAGTAATTCATTATATTTAAAGAAGAGGTTTTCAGATCTCATCTTTCTCTGCACGTGAAATGGAAAATTTCGCAAAATTACAATATCCTTAGCTTAATGACATACGCAACGTAGTTTGAACTTTATTGTCTTTTTCCCTGGACTTGAAGAGTTCCAATACTTAAAGGAACTGTGTGCTACATTTTAATGTCTATATATGCTGTTGTACACTTCTTCTAAGACAAGTTTGGGTAAACAAGACATCTAGAATATATGTTTAGTAATTTTTGTAGATATTTCTTTTAATTATACAAGAATTTTCATCAACTGATATCTTTTCAAAACCATTGGTAATAACTGCTGATTTTTTTTCTATGAACATCTGATGGCACTATAATCTTAAATTAAGAATATCTTGAAAAATTATCAGTAGGTAAGTTACGTTGCGTATGTCCTTAATTCATACCATTTACTAGATCAAAATCCATTTCACAAAAAATGTTTCCAAAAGAAAAATAATTTATATTTGAAATGCAGTTTACAAAATGTTTTTAGTATTAAATTTTATTTTTATTAACAGTGGTGTTCCAATGGCTTGCAGAGGAGAATGTCCATGTTACAAACGTTTTAGACGCTACTGAACTTAACGACAACAACTCTTTACAGTTATTGTGAAAACTGTATTCTAATAAAGTCGTGTTAAAAACTGACAAGATCATAAGTATTAATTTCACGTTTCTGTACATTTGTGGATACATGTATTTCCTGATTGACTGTAATAGAAAACATTCGATTTCTTCTGAGGCAAACATTTTAAGGACATGACGTCATGGCCTAAGATAATCCCCGATATTTTATTATTCCTTTCAGGTGTTTTAGAAGCATGATTTTTTAACAATTATCCATTCCTGCCCTGCTTGTTACATCTAACTGTTAAGATTGATACAAGTCTATAATTCTATTCTTCATGTTCTTTCTTTTTTAAGATTGCATTCGTTTTAAATATAGTTTTATTCTAGGAAATATATGTCAATTTTAACTTTTTATGTATCGTAAATAGTGCGGATCTGACAATGTATCACTTTTGTCAATCTCTGAGGATATTTAACACTTTTAAAAAAGTCGAGGCACAAAATTAAGATTCAAGTTTCTAGCTAACATTGAACAGATGAAATTTGCACTATGTGATTTTGAAACTCTTCAAGAGACATATTAAAAAGTATTAAATGGGGGAAAATCAAAATTAAATTCGATGTTCCCTTGAAAAAATAAATAAGGATTTTCAAGGACGATAAAATGCTCAATGGAAATAAAACCTTGATAGCAGTTTAAAAACCTCTAGTATTTTAATTGCAAGATGGATGTAACATGTCCTATGTACAAATGTTTACATACAGAATTGAATTAAATTACATGTAATTTTGGGTTTTTTTCCGCTAGTCATAAGTGTACGGAAGGTTTTCATATCACTACAGTTGCTCAGTATGTCATGACGTAATTTTTTTAACAAACCAGGTTACAGTGAATGCGTAATTAACAAACTTTCTTATTGTGAATTTAGTATCTACTGCAGTTTGATGTTGCAGTGAATTAAGGAATCAGTGTCTAGTTTGTTGAGTATGCCAGGGTATGCTTCGCCCGTTAAGCATAAATTATCCCACGTTTCCAACTATCGTTGATGTCCCTGGCATATCCAACATAGACAGTGATTCCTTATATTTACGTTTATATGTGAAATAAAATTGTAAATATAAATTTTAAAAATGCTGTCCAATAGATTTTAAATTCAATAGAATTTAAATGTTAATTTCAATAGTCCCCGCCCATTGACGTCAGACACAAAAACAGCCGAACGAGATTGACATGCATATAAGACTTCTGACCTTTCACCTGGCGAAATTAACATTCCGTTTGAATGATCAAGAAATCAACTCACTCACATGTAACTTTCAAAGAATCAATTAGATTTGGAAATATTACGTAATTCACAATTTGTCATATTGTAAATTTTGTATCTACCGTAATTTGATATTTCAGTGAATACGTAATTAACAATTTGAATAATTCAGCAGTTACTTTTGAGAATTTAAACTTTAAAAGTTGTAGGGCACTACAAGGAGCTGTCCATTGGTAGCACAGAACGCTGCGAGACATTTAACGTGGAAGTAATGTAAGCAGCTGGTTAAAAGCACAAATAAAACTCGAAGAAACGCTAATAGATGTAAAGTCGCACGGGTCAGGACGCAAATCAGTTCATCTTTAAATGGAACGTCAATTGCATTGTCAATTTTAGAAATTCAGGAGGATGGGTTTAAGGTGAAATACTGATGGTTTAAATCACATCAGCCAATTAGCCAATTCTGTGGAATTCAAATGCATCGACGGGTGGTTCAAAAATTATAGGAGACGATATTTTTAGTGGGGCCCAAAATCCATCGTAGGCTAAAACTAAATATTTAACCTGGGACCATGAGGATCCAAATGGCCACTGTACCTTAATTGAAAACATAGACCAATCGCCACTATCGTTTGATATAAATACGGGAAAGCGTATCAAACTAGTGCTACTTAAGTATGGTGTAGGACAAAGCTATCAGGTCACTTTACAATGTTGTATTTTTCGGAAGGCGTTGAAGGCATTAAACCAGTCATTTTTCGGGGACTGGCCAACTCATTGTCTTGGTAAAAAAGTTAATTACATTTGCTTTGTGGTACATTTTGAAGAAAATGCATAATGCGATGAGTTTTTAAGTTCAGAAAACGGAAAAACTGTAAATTCAAAATCAAGAAAAAAAGAGATCAGCATCACGCAGATGGTTGCACAAATGAATTCAACCCTTTGATGGAGTGTTCTAAGGTCTTTTGAAGGAAAAAAATGAGGGGATAACGGACAAGCATGTACACAAAATCAGAAGAAAAGGCTTGAGGGCACTTTCCCACCTTCAGAGCGATAACTAGAAAAGAATTAGCTCTATTGGTTGGCTCATCAATAATAAGGTTTCCTTCTCTCTATTTTGAAGTACTGGGTGAAGAATACATTATAAGAAATATATATTTGTTTTCAATTTCAGTTGAATCCTTATGGACAAATGGGTAGCAAAAGTGTGGAAACACATCTGCAATGATCAAGTTGATGCTGTGGTGAAGTGTTTTAAGAGTTGCGGTATTTCGAACAAAATATATGGCAGTGAGGATCACTTCATATACTTCCCAGGCATCGACAGTTATCATTTTGACACAGAGAAAGAGACGATGAAATGCATTGTATTATTTTAGACCCTGAATCTGAGATCCTACAGAAATGCTGAGGATGATGCCCCACTGGCAGAGTTGAAGTCGAGAGTGTAAAAGCTGTTCAAAGTGATCCAAGAATCAGTACAGTCATGTATTTTAGTGCTGGTTTTCTAATATTTTATGTTTTAAACTTCTAATTTTTAGAATTTAACATACAGATGTACCTAATGAGATAAAATGTTTCAAATATATCTTAATATTAATAAATGTTTAAAATCAAATCATAAATGTCATGAAATGTTTGTATTAAATGTGTGTTCATAAGCATTTTAAGAAATATATATACCCTAAGGAAATTAAAAGTTTCTATTTTTCAAATATTTTTTTGATATTCTCAAGGTAGAATTTTAAAAAATCCGATTTAAATATCTCCTCCTAAACGGCATGAAAATGTATGGCTTATTTTTTTTTTTTTAAAAAGGGCTTACTTTTAAGTATTTTCCTGTGCAAGAAATAGGTGGTTTATTTTTTCAAAAAGAAAACATCTTTTTATAAAATCCGGCTAATTTCATGATTTTTTAATATTTCTTGGAGGAAACACTAATTTATTATTATAGTAAGGTTAAATGAAACAAAAGTATTGATTAAATTAAAGTTGAATACAATTAGATTTAAGTCATGCTTGTTTCATTAATGCAATTGCATCATTGCATGTTGTGAATAACCAGAAACTATTACCTGTCATCCATTTTCAGTTGCAAACAGGAAATACATAGTTTGCCTTATTTTCTTTGAAAAGCAATTCGTTATAACAAATCATGCGTTCAGTGTAAAAGCAACAGCTTGCTCCCGGAAAGGATTTTATAATATAGGATTATTGAAATTAAATTGGTGAATAATGGCACTAGCTGACTGTACAAATGTACGAGCTTGCAACCAGAATTTTTGTTTACAACGCGGAGTTATTGAAAGCTTGTATACGGAATGTTTCGGACATACTCACATACACGTAATTCAAACTCAGCCTTCAATAAAACGCCAAGATATTGAAAAACTAAAATTCACTATATTTTTATAAGTTTTTATTTTAGATTATTTATTAGCTATATAATAAAATTTATTATACATTTTGATATTACATTACGGGAGTATATTGTATGTCCAGAATTATCTCTCTCTTTTTTCAGAAAAATAAGATGAAATGAAAAAGTTGAAGATAACAAACAGTAGACGATCTAAATGAATCTACAAACAATACAAATCTGTGAACATAACTCTTTTTTACTGTCACCTGAGTATACTACAAATCTGTAAAGATTCCACTGACGAATCAAATAAAACAAAATAAACTAAGAGATGAAGATGCGTTGCCCCAAAGCAAGTGAAAGAGGTTGACCAGGGATCAACAAAATAGTTAATCTTGTACTCATTAATAAATCATAAAGTAGATTTATTTACTTGCCAGTATTAGATACACTCGCATTTGTCACTAACATTATCCAGACCATATAATATAATAGTGCTTGAGAAGAAGAATTAAACCCTTTTACGTTCCCTCACACATAGGCCTCATCTGATCTTTGAAAACTATATAATGTAAGAATATTAGGTATTTATGTCTCATTTTAAGTCTATCTGACTATTAAAACTAGCAAAGTACTTTTTTTATTTTTTCGTACATTAAAATATCTTGAGTAATTTCGCCTATCAGTTACATTATTTACAGTAATTAATTATCATAGGTGAATAGCAAAGGAAAACGCAGCAATGTTAAGGCTTCCCGAAGCTTTCAATGCGTTCAAAAAATAGCACTGCATTACAAGGTCGATTTTTATTTTTATTTGTAAGTTCTGTACTTAAGTACGGCCAATTTATATAGAGAGTTCTCTAGGCTACATATATACGTATTTGTTACGATATCACATGACTTCGTTGATCACGTGACGGTCATTTCTACTTTTTTGAAATGTTTCACATAAATCGCTTCGGCGCAGGTGATTAACACAATTATTATTAACTTTTTGTCACATAAATAAACTCGTCGCATCCTTGTGAACCCGAAATGTGCTTGGGAAAAGTTATACTATTACTCTGGTACAAAATATTTCACAAAAAATTCAACTTACCCACAAATTTGAGGGTATTTTCCATTCAATATCGTCATCTGTATTAAAACAAAGCCATCACACATTTTTCCCAAGCAAGATTCAGTTAGAGGCGGAACTCCTCTTACAGATTTTCCCTATATATTTTGAACACGTTGACTTTTAAACAAGAGTAATAAAGCAAAGTGATCTAAAATATTCGGATATATCAGATTTTTTTTTAAAAGATTAAAACATGTTTATTTTACACTACATTCCTGACATTTTATATGCAGATGGAAACAAGGTGTAAAGTTTATGACACTCTCCCCATCATAATAGCTCAAGTTTGCAGTGACTTGACGTCATTTTCAATTATGACGTCATATATTTGTAGTGAAGGTACAGAGTACACTGCAATATTCTCTGGGAAGCCTTAACGTACCCGCGAATAAGTTCTCTCAATAGCGTAAGATTTTCTCTACAATATCAGTAAAGCCCTGAACAGCACCAGAACACTTAACCCAGTGTTCCTCAATTTCAAAAATCCCGTAAAAGCACTCCTGCTCAATAAAATTTTGCACTTTGTTAGCCTCGTAGATGCTCAGGAGAAAGACAAGAAGAATTTCAAAGAATTTCATAGAAGTATTGTATTTTCACTATATCACCAACAGAACCCCTCCTCAACAACAGAACGCCTGACCCAAAGGCTATGAATTTCACTATTTTTGGAAGAGACATCCTTGTTCATCATCACCATAAACTTAGTTTGTTCGCTAGATACCTAGAGGTAGAGAAGACTTTTAAAGACTTTATGTTTTTTCATTATATAATCAATAGAGCCCCGATCTACACGGGAACCCCGGACTCAGGTGCAATAGATTTCAAAAGTTTGGAAGAGACATCCTGTCTCATCATTAGCATGCACTTAGTTTGTTTGCTAAATACCCAGGGGCAGAAAAGAAGCTTTTCAAAGAAATAAAGCAGTTTCAGTATAGAGCCATGAATTACACAGAATAGGCATCTTTGTTAATCATAACCATGACCTTAGTTTTCTCTGCAAAAGTGCATCTTACTATCTGATTAACAGAGCCCACCAGACCCTTTGGCACAGAGGCCATGAATTTAACAATTTTTGAAGAGGCACCCTTCCTCATCATTACAATGCACGTTTACTGGTTGCTTAATACTCGCGAGCAGGAGGATTGCTTTCACTCTATATTGCCCCGCACTAACACTAGAGCCCCTGGCCCAGTGGACATGAATTTCAAATATTTAGCTTCCTTTGACCTGATTTGCAATATTTTTCAATGAGGGTCTTCAAAACAAAAACATGATCTGAAGTTCTAACTTGTTTTGTAAAATCCTATTTGACATGGAGTGATTTTATATTGCATTGTAAATATTCATCTAGTCTTGGCTTAGGAATATGATTAAAAAGTTTGCCTAATTTGCTGGCAATTGTGATTCTCAATAACTGTTGGGATCATTAGTGTTGTTAGATTTGTATACATCATTAGTATTGTTAGGTTTGTGTCCTTCACACCATGAAGAGGAATAATAAATATGAGATAAGAAGCATTAAGATCCTGTCAGGACCGACTGCCTTATCATTTTAGTTTTCTGGTTGCTTTACTTATTTCATTCAAAGATATTCAAGTTCATTAAATATGGATGTTGATGTTTTCTCGCCTCATTTTAGTTGGTCTTTGAGAAACTGAACTTGATCACAGAAATCCTCATGAATTTTATTCAATTTTTTGAGGTAGTTTATCCAGTTACTATTAGAGATTGATGTACTAATTGTGTTTCTATTTCCATTTCTTAATTCCCCTATACGTGTCCTTTTTTTCGTTTTAATATGTTGAACTTAAAGAGCTTAGCTTGTTAATGATATTACAATGGTATGTTCTAAATTTCTGGTTTCGTAATTTGTTAAAAATTTTATAGGTTCTATAATACTGATTCTTGGCATAAATATTTATATCCACAAATTTTGCTATGTACAACTCAAATCAAAACCTGGCAATTCGCAGCTCGTTTTTTGCTAAAATGGCATATATTATAAAATAGGACAAACAACGTTATATGAGTGAAAATGTCATTTAATCAAATAAATTACGAAAACAGACAAAATATCTAAACACATACAAATATTTAATTGGCTGGGATATAAAGTCAAGCAAATAATGTTTAAATCTGACTAGATTCAATTAGAGAACATGACGACTAGTCATATAATAGAAATCCCAGCCAATACAACTTCAAGAAAGCTAACTACAAAACTAACAAATTAAAATCTTACAAATCGTAATTGTAAAAAATTAGAGCAAAAAAGGTGGTGCACAAAAGAGCAAAAATGGTGGTGCACGAAAGAGCATTAAACACGGTAACAATGTGTTGTACAAAATTCAAACAAGTATGAGATGTAAAATAATATGGTGGTGGAGGGGGAAAGGCGGTTGTTAAAAAAACTGAAGCTCTTAATCGTGATGGCAATTACAAAACAATGAAAACAATACAAATTGTCTCTGACTAGTCAATTTAAAAAGCTGGGGTCCCCAACGGGATAACTAAAGAACAAGGAGCCATTTAAGGGATAATGGATATAAACACAAAATTTTGTACATAAAACAATTTATTGTGCCAATAAATGTTTATTTCTGGGGTTGCGGCCAAATAATGATCCCTTCCTTACTAGTTTTGAGCGCATATGTATCGGCTCATTATCAAACCATTCAATTTTATGTTTAGGTAAGTTTGGTTTTAGCGACAAAATAGGGAGTCTTTTAATTTAATCTCTTAATTCCAGGGAGCCTTTAAAAGAAATTTAATTTCTTTTAATTTAATCTTTTAAGAATCTTCACCCTACTCAAAGGATGAATGGGTCTTGTATTGATTGTTATCAATATTATTTTCTCAATTTCTTCATCAGTTAAAAGATAATCAACAACACTATTACCATGGCAATTATGGTAGGTAAAATTTCCAAAAATGTCACCAAAACATCTCCAATTCATAATAAGGAGTTGATTTGCAAGAAAAAAAAATGTATACAAGTTCTATTCCTCTTTTATCCATGCAAGTGTCCCTATTAACTGTATTGAAAATATAATTATCAATTTTATATGTTTCAAATAAGGGTAGATATCGGTTGTTGTCATCAAATATATAATCAGCTGCATTTTCTCTTATACCATTCGTGATCGGGAGGCCCGAGTTAGATTCTCGTTCACCGCGCCGCGCCAAACTTAAGACGTAAACATAGGCAGGGACTGTTCCTTCGCCAAGCGCACGGCACTAGAACTGAGAGTCAAGGGCCTTTCGGATGAGACCTTAAAAATCGAGGTCCCGTATCACGGTAGGCGTTTGCGATGATAAAGAATCCTCACTGCTATATGGTCCTAAGTGCCGAGTAAAGGTCTAAATTTGAAGCCCTTCACAGGCATACAGTAACGTCTCTAAATGAGTGAAAAATTTTCGAATGGGACGTTAAACATCATTCAATCAAACAATCTTCTAGCATTAAGTCTTCACAAAGCATTATATTTCTTAAATCTTTAAATGAAATATATGGAGATAACGAACAGTATTCAACCTCAAAAGTCCATTAAACAATACAAAATAGGAGCAGAGCAAACACGGACCTCCAACATCAGAGGTGGGATCAGGTGCCATGGAGGAGTGAGCATCCCTTGCCGACCGGTCACACCCGCCGTGTGCTCCTTGTCATGATCGGGAAATAACGGGAAAATCCGTCGACAATTCAGTGTGTAAATAATGGCCTAGTATGAAAAACGTCAGTCAGCATTTGACTCAATGATAAATTGTGTTTGCTGACAAGGTCATTGTATCGACCATAGAACTTACGAAATGATGACTTTAAACGAGACAGCTGATATTCTTGTTTCATCAACTTATTTGTCAATAATTTACCTCGTTTTATAAATTGTACATACGTAGAGCATGCTCTTCCGTATGGAATCAACTGAGAGATATATACCCCATATGCAGGTGATGAAGGTATATTGCTGCATATGTAAGGGAAGTTGACGATTGAAAAGTTAAAGTCGTCACGTTTATCATAAAGCTTGGTTATTAACGTCTTTTTCAAGTAAAATATCCAGATATGAAACAGATGTGTCAGACTGTGGTATCTTTTATCTCAAGTTCCCAAGGATATATCGTATCGACATAAGAATGGAAATAGCCATTGTTAATTGACAATACGTCGTCGATATATCTAAATGTCGAGTTGAAGGCCACAGCAAGTGTTTTCTTTTCACGTACAAGATTTTGGACAAATTCTGCTTCATGTGAATACAAAAAAAAGGTCTGCTAATAACGGAGCGCAATTGGTACCCATGGGAATTTCAATAGAATGTTGGAAGACCTGGTCTCCAAAAACCACATAGATATTGTCAATCATGAATAATGAATAATATCTTTCTGTACAAGCTCTAGAATATTAATATTATTGCTTGTTATTGCAGGTGATCCCTTCGAGGGGTTATATACAGTACATATATGAAAAATCATTATATTTTTTTTTATAAAAAGTTTTCGCTGATTTGATCCACTGCTGTTCACTACATGTATAGAGACATGATCTTTAATTTCATGGTTCATTAATATTGATATTCCTCCATAGTATCAGCCATTGTTAGATTTATTTTACAGATAGTGTGACAGTAAAAATCGTCATGCATTACAAAGGTATCTGGTCCAATGTGTGTTTCTGGTCCAATGTGTATAAATCCTGTTGCAGTACAAATTGCTTAAAATATGATATTTTCCACAGTATATAAAGATTAAACTCGATTGATACCTTTCTATAGTTGTCCTTAAACAGAACACGACTTGCCTCTAGCGTGTATTAAAATCGTGCAACTTATGACGGAGTAAAATTCTACAACATATGATAAGTTAGTGAAATATACACCGTGTTTGCACAATTACACCACTGATAAATTACATGCCCCGCTTTTCCCGTGTATACCATACATCAAACGAATAAAAAATCGAATAAAAGAGCCGTTTTCTATTATAGTGCATTGCCAGTTATAACCTATGAAGTTAAGCTGGTTGTTGTCATTGTTATTTTGCATCTAATCGAAATGGCACATTATCATGTTATTCTTCTTATAGCTGCTTTCTTTGTCAAAGAGGGCTATCAAGGTAAGAGCATTTTACGTCTTGTTTTTATTTAACTAAAGAGAAGAAAATTAGGGAAAAAAGATTTTACGTATAATATTTATAATAATGAATTCTTGTATTTAGACTGGATGGCACAATTAGAAACAAATGACTAGTTTACATTGTGGACCTTTATAAAACGTATTCACAGGCCAGATAAAGAAAAGAATAGAAAATGGATAGTATAAAAGCTATATATTTATAGTGATCCCAGATATTACTGAGACTTTTTTGAAAAGTTTTTCAAAATCTTTTATAAATAAATCATTTATAGTTAAATACCAGTTTTTTTATCAAATGAAAATATTTGCTACTTTGTTTTTATTCTACATGTGTTTTAATGAATAATTTTCCGTTTTCTTTGTATACTTCCGGCCAACTGTTTATGTCCAAAATAAGTGATTTTAATAAAAAGAAAGCCTTTTGTAGATGCTTTTTATCAGCAATTACAGACTAGCTTTACGTCTGGAACAATGAGTATTCCACTGTCTATTATTGATTTACGTGGGACAAATTATTGAAAAGTGGAAAGGAATCCGACAGAGGGAAAGAGCTGGTAGGGCTGGGAATCAACCTATTTTCTACACTTAGTGTTGTTCTTACTGCGCAAATAACCAAGTCTTCCTTGACCTATACATGTAAATGTTGGTTTACTAGACCTACAACTCTTTTTCTTAACTGAATTCCTCTTTTTAACATTTTGCACCACATATGATATGAATTCGGACAACCGCGAGGTACGTCTGGTCAGTTTGGTCTCCTGTGGCAATTTGTGATTTACCTTAACGATCAAATTAATAAAAATAATTTCGATCGAATTAAAAAATGTTGCTTTAAATTGGTGTCGAATAAGAAAATGAGTATAGAAGAAGACGTAATAACAGTAAATAAAAGAATAAACTTGGATAAGTCGAAAATGTTTAACAATGCCTAGCAAAGACCAATGTCTCCATATATTTTTTTACCATTCAATAGTTCATCTTTTTATCACTCTATTTTATCGCCATAGGAGACAAAAGTGACCGGACGTACCTTGCGGTTGTCCGGATTCATTTCAAATTAATTAGATATCAACATTAAAATTCAAAAATGTAAAACTGTAAATAGAGTTTAATAGCTTGGTTGTAGTGCTAGATGTTTTTGTTTTCATCTCTTTTGTTTTCTTTTTTTTTAAATGACTCTTTAAAATCTTCGATGTCCTGAGGAAAGGACAGGGCGTCCCGAAAATTAGACAATTTTTAATTGTGCGTTGGTCATTTAAAGTGCTTTGTATAAATTTCCATCCGTGACCTTTTGTATCTATCTCGTAGATCCGACACATGGGATAAACGGTGTTGTAGGTTAACTATATATATATATATATATATATATATATATATATATATATATATATATATATATATATATATATATATATATATATTTATATATATATATATATATATATATATTCGTTTTTCATTCAGCACCTTGCGTTTGCACGGCACAATATGACCCAGTGTGTGGTACAGATGGCAAAACTTACTCGAACCCGTCGTGTATGCGTTGCACGTAAGGAATAATTTACCTCTTTAAGAGCTTTAGATTATATTCATTGGCATCAAAAAATATTTTTATTCTTCTTTTGAGATATCGGAACGTATGTAAATCCATTATCATTCAAATTGTTCAACTAGGTCGCTTACCTCTTCAGTCATAGGAGGTTCATGTAGATTGTATTTTCTTCAGTCTTTTAAGTCAACATATCTATTGTTTTATTCTTTTTACTAGACCAAATGTCCAGATAGCTTGTCGCGGAAGATGTCCGTGTAGTGAGTAGTAAAAAATACGTTTTTCTGATTTTTAAAGCAGTAAAGAAAAAATTCAACTAAATGTATTATAAATCAATCAAGTTCTTTTTTTTTAAATATTTTCGGTTTTTGCCAACAAGGTAACAAGAATATTTTCTATTAAGGACCATGTATATGCACAACTCAATATGATCCAGTGTGTGGTACGGACGGAAAAACGTACTCCAACACTTCATGTATGCGCTGCACGTACGTATGTCTTGCACCAATTCTAACTGATACGTGTACATGTTTTGATTATGTCGGAAAAACAGTTTCTTTAAGACTTTATGTAATAACATTGAGGTGAAGTTAAAGAACGACATTCCATTTGATTATATAAAATACAGAAGCTTTGCATCCAAATCACACTCCTCCTTTTCCTTAACTGGTTACGAAAAATGCTGAGAGTAACGGTTGGAGATGTTTTTAAGCAAAAAATATAAGGAAGAATTTATTTTTTGTCGCATCTTTGCCGAAATATCCAAAATCGAACATCTTGATTGATTTTAAAATATCAGACAAAATTTGTTTTGCACTTTGTATAGTGATTTTTTTTCTTTGAATAAAAGTTATATTTCTCTTTGAAATAACATGGTCAAAGCTTCTGTACTTTTGTTTTTTGGAGGAAAATTTTAAAGTTCTTGAATCTACAACTTTATTTAACCAATATTTTATTGATAAAAATTGGACTTCATAATTAGTATTCATAGAACAGATACATGTACCATGACAAAGTAATAGATTAAAGACTAAACAAATCCTAATAAGCCATTTATTACCTTTGTTCACGTTCAGACCAGGTGTAAGAGTTGCTTGTAAAGGTGAATGTCCCTGCCCCAGGCCTTGTAACTGTGAGGGTAAGGGTAGGTCTCCTGTGTGTGGAGTAGATGGCAGAAACTATGATCATCCGTGCTGGGCACGTTGCCAGTAAGTAACAAATCAATCTATATGTACACGTTTATTAAAGTTATTAAAATTTATTGTAATTAATTTCAAAAAATACTCATACATGTAGAAATAAATTCAATATTGAGAAGCAAAATTATTGTCATTATTTGTTTGCATAATTTTCCAAGAAAAACTAAAATGCTAAAAAAGATATATTTTCAACTACTCTGATTTAAAAGCATATTTACGATTACCTAAATAAACATTTACTGGTTATCATTTTCATATGCTGTATTCTTTCTTTTAATTCTACTAGCAATATAGCAGTGCAGTGTAATGGATATTGTCCCTGCAAAGGATACGGAAAATAAAAAGTATCAAAAATCTAATTTTCCCTTTGCTTCAATACAAGAGGATATACATTTTTTCGTGATGGACTGCAAACTGTCACAGTGGATTCCACCACAGGCACAGTTATGTTAATAATAATTAAATAACAGAATTAAATTTCCAATTTTCTAGCAGCGATAGGGTTTATCGACATATTGGACCAGAACATAAATCAAAATAGTAGAAGACTAATAGTTCTGGGACAAAAATCATCAGTATAACTGAAAGACAAAGTACAATAAAATAGAAAAGGGACATCTAAGATGTACATGATATTATATATATATATATACATGTATATATATATATATATATATATATATATATATATATATATATATATATATATATATATATATATATATATATATATATATATATATATATATATATATATATATATTAAACACTCCCCCACGTTTGCTCCTTGTCAATACGGTATATTGCTCTTTGTGGCATATTTACCACTGTTTATAGCACTGCCTATTGCAACATGTAACTCAATTTCTTTGTCTACCAAATAACAAATAAATACACATAAATCTCACTTTTTAAAGCGATATCGATTTAGACTGTTGTCATCGTTGGTTCATACCTTGTAAACTGGCTCATTTTCAGCTCAATTGAATCGAGGACTCAAGTGAACTGTTCTGATCAAAACAGTAACCGGCGTCCGTCTGTCTGTATGTCGTGTGCCATGTGCTGTCTGTAAACTTTTTTCACATTTTCGACTTCTCCAAAACTACATGCCAATTTCAACCAAACATACCAAACATGCCTCATAGCATCCTTGGGTTTAAGCTTGTTCACAGCAAGTATTCATGCCCTTTTTCAAAGGGAGATGAATTTGTGAAAATTTGATGGCATCATTTAAAATTCTTCTTCTCAAGAACCACTGTGCCAGAAAAGATGAAACCTATGTGAAAGCTCCATTACATACTATTGATGGAAGTTTTTATATCATGAGATCCAGAGGTAGGCCGAGGCCACAAAAGGGGTCAAAGTTTTATATAGCTTTATTTAGGTGATATCTTTGAAAATATTCTTCTCAAGATAACCAGTATTAGTCATATTAATACAGTAGCATCCTCAAGGGGTGTAGATTCAAGAGGTTCAAATCATGACCCCAGGGGGTAAGACGGGGCCACAGCAGGGGTTTAAAGTTATACATAGTAATTATATAGGGAAAATTTTGAAAAAACCTTCTTCTACAGAACAGAAAAACCATGATAAGTCATATCAATATATAAACTATAGTTTACTTTATTTCTTTTCCATCGTCAACGTCCACTATCTATATAATACTTCTACTATCTAGTAAACTAAAATGGGCATAGGCACCTCGCCGGGTATGAGATAGATCAACCCAATATATTTTTTTTATCTATTTTATTTTATTTGACAAAAACCACATGTGGCGCAAGTCATACATACAGTAAAAAAATATATAGTCACACAGATTTTCTTATATTAAATGCATCACGTATGAAGTTACAAATATTTCTTGTTGATTTAATATCTGCTGGACTAAGAATTTCATAAGATATACATGTATTGTTAAAAAGTGTACAAAATTCACTTCTTAGTTGTTTATAAAGAGGACATACAAATAAAAAATTATGTTCATCTTCAACAACAGTTTGACAATTAATACAATATCTTTCATCTCTTGGTATAATTGGATTGCAATATCTGCCAACGTCTATCTGTAATTTGTGGGCACTAATTCTTAATCTAGTCAAAAAAGAACAAAGATTCTTGGAAATGGAAAAATTTAAGTATGGTTGAATTTCAAGCTTGTTTAGATTTCCTTGACTTATTAACTGGCTGTAGAATGATAATTTGCCATTACCTTTTTCTTTGATATGTCTTATATCCCTAAAAACTGTATTCTCAAAACACTTTTTCAAATTATTTTCAAAATCATTTATTGATAATGTATTAGCATTTGAACCAATAACTTCATCAAGTATAGTTTGTATACATTTTTGCCAACATGTTTTTCCATTTCCTGCAAGTTTTTCATCCTCTAAATATGCATGTTGTAAGAGCAAGTTTGAGTTCTCTTGATCTGAAACAATTTTCTGTAATCTGTAATAATATCTATATAATAATCTATATATTCTGAAAATAATGGGAAGTGCACCAAACTCTACTTTAACTGCTAAATTAGAAGCTTTATTATGGACCCCTAAAATGTCTTTCTAGATGAAATTTTGAATTTTTTCTAATGGAGTTTTATCAAAGTCTTTTGTCATTTTTTTTTTTAAATCACTTATCCAGATTTCCGAAGCATAAGTCAAAATTGGCATAATGCATGATTCATATATCTTAAACTGAGCCTTTCCTGAGAGACTAAGATTGCTTGGTAAGTTTGATTTGATTGTAAAATATGCTTTCCTTGCTCTACCTGCTAAATTCTCGCATGCATATTTCAATTTACCATTATTTTTTTAGGACAACACCCAAATATTTATATTCATCAACAAAGGCAATAACATCTTCTCTAAACTTCATTGTTTTACAACTCAATTTTTTAAGGTTTTTACTACAAAACACCATAGCATTAGTTTTTTGTGTATTTATTTCTAACTTCCAGTTACCACAATATCTTTCCAATGAATTAAGACATTGTTGTAGCCCATCTACTGATTCAGATACAAGTAATAAACCGTCTGCAAAAAATAAGCTGTTAAAGTTAATGTTGTTCAATTGAACAGGATATATTTTTGAGAAATCTAAATATTTTGTAAAATCATCGATAAATATGTTAAAAAGTGTCGGACTCAAAATGTCTCCCTGTTTTACTCCACGATTTGTAGAAAAAAAAATCACTATGAACATTTGATTGTTTCACACCGCATACAGTAGTAGAATATACATGTTCAATAATTCTATAAAAATTACTTCCAATACCTTTATTTATTTCTGTAGACAGTCAGTATCATACCTGATAAGTAATAGTGAACTCGAAATAAAAGACACCACAGAGTCTGTCTTATCTGTTTCAAATTTGGAAGTTTTATTGATATAGACTTTAATGGCCAAAAAACATGATAATTAAAAAAGTGTCCATCGTCAACATCCCTTATTAATTCAGTGATATTCCTATATCACCTGCATATGGTGTTTATGTGTTCCAACTGATTCGGTAGGCTAAAGCATGTTCTGAGTGCGATCAATTTTAAGCCGGGCTTATTGCTCAAACAGCAATTGCCGGTTACTGTCAGACTGTTCAGGCATGAAGTGTTGACCACAGCCGCTAAATAAAAATTACGTGTAAACATATAGTTCTTACTCTCAACCGCTTTTGAGATAATACAAACGCTAAAGTGCATTGCACTAATCGGGTTACCCTCTTTAAATAAAGTATTATTATTATTATATTATTATTAAATAAAGCAACAAAAATAATACGAAGTTTTTTCTATACAAATAAACATCAGTAGTAATGACTTTGAAAACTTCAGTCCTAAGTCAAACACCATAGTTCATTTGTTTAAGGTTTTTTGATGGTCAATGTTGTCGTAGCCTAGTTCTCTACAAAGACAAAGAAAAACAGGAGAGGGAACTAGACTGACCTGTTTCTTGCACATTCAGCGGTGCGCAAGGTTAACTCTGACCATAATAAATTCGGACCATGGTATTAGGTCACTAAAACTAATAGGTTTACAAGTAATAGCTTTTCAAAAAGCTTGCCTGACTAGTCAATCAATATCTATGGAACGTATAAGCAAGAGAGATGCCAAACGTTTCCGTCATCAAGAAGCGACATAGTTGCGATACTTCATTACACAAGATGTACACCTTTCTCAAATCTCAAACCAAATACTGCAGATTAACGAATATCTAAGACATGCCACTCACAGGTACTTGACGTTTAAACCTTTCTCTTTAATGATAAAAATATCCCCATACTATAATAATAACAAGGTACGTCACGGTCGCCATCTTGAATTTTTCAGGTCAACTACATCGCCTCGATTTTTTGTCTACAACATGTTTAAAATCAACGGACACAACCACCAACGTTAATTACTTACTTTAGATATGTCTCAACTTTCGGGTTATTCCACTGAAATCACGTAACATCCATTCTATTTATTCAAATATCGCTCCAAACTCAGTCTACTGCTTCCGATTCAGTAAATCTTAGAAAAGGGAGGCCGGAAGTTGATGCTTTTATGTCATAATGCGGGATAGCCCTTTTCTGATTGGTCCTTATATTAACATGCTTATGAATAATAATGAACTGAAAAACGCGTTCGTATGGGAAAAAGAATGAAATCTGAGCACATCACATTTTATATTTACTTATTATATTGACACATATTCATATATATATTTGCACATAATTGGTTTCAGACTACATGCAGTGTACTTTTTACATTAACATTGGAGGGGTGTTGCTAAAACGCGGAACGGAAAACGGAACGGAAAACGGAAAATATGACACCAGTTTAAAGCCCTTGAAAAATACAAATTATACCAAAAACGATATAAATTATATGTGTTTTTCATATTTAACCTTGATTATCAAGAATGAGTTGATCTCTTCATGTATACCGGTATTCTCATATGAAGTTTCCAATACAAAAGCAAAGCATAGGGTACGGAAAACATAAAATATATACACGTGGTACATATAAAACGTTGTGGTGAGATATGAGTGAATTAACTTTATAAAAGACCACTCTGATCAATATGAATAGCCAGTATTCGATATTTATATGAGCGAACACAACATAATTTTCGATGCACAGGCACCTAAAGAGCGAATAACCATGATACCGTACAACTCTGCGTCCCCCACCCACCCCCATCCCCCGTATTTGGCCAAATTGTAAAACTGGAAAACAACACTGACCGATTGCACAGAATAACATTAAAATTGATATGACAGAGAAATCATACATTTTCCAGAAAATGCACTCTCGTAATTTATATATTATTTGGTAGGGAGGGGGATGATGTAGCCTACGTAGTCCTCGATCACAGG